TTGTCACGTAGGCAGGGCAACTCGCACGAGCTGGATTTGATTCCCGTGATGGATCTGGGGCGGATGGTCGTGGAAGGACAGAAGTCATGGAGGAGCAGGAATTTTCATCACGGAGGAAGGGGGCTGGGCCGATTCCTCGCGGTGCAAGGGGGGGTGGGGGTTGTTAGATCTGCACGGGGGAAGGCAGAGTTGAGGGTCGTGGGAATTTGATCACCGAGGGGAGAGGGAGGGGTGTTGCACAATCGTTTTGACGGTGCCCTACGAGGAGAGCGGCGTGTAACCCTGAGCGCCCCCGTGGCTTCACGCCGGTAGGAACCGGGCTGGCTCGGAGCCGGCAACTGGCCAGCTGATCCCGCGGGGCGCCCGCCCTGACACGGGCCCCTTCTCACGGCGGGGGCAGGTGACGCCATTCGCTTGCTTTAACGCGTTAGTACAAACACACGGCAGCAAACGGAACACTCACGATTTTAGCTTTTAAACAGCCGAAGCTAACCCATTCGTATACTCATATTTGCGTTAAAAAGGAAGTTAACATGGCTCTCCCCAGCCCATAGGCTTGAGTGAGCAGGGTAGGCGAGAGTCTAAACCCGGGACTGTGGTTCCCCATCAGTCCGGCCCGCGTCGCAGTGCCCGTGGGAACGAGGCACTCGGCCGGTCCCAGGCGAGGGCTCCTGGCAAGGGTGAGAGGTGATGGCTCAACCACTCTCCACGTCTCCCCTCTCCCCTTTGACATCTCCCCTCTACCGTATCTCCTATTTCACTTTTCTCTCTATTTCCCCGCTCATCGCTTTCAAACCTCCGCTTATCTCTCTGCATCACCTCTCTCAACCAATCCCTCTCTCCCACAGTTTCACCTCTCTGCACCCCCGCCCTTCTCCTGTCTTACCTCGCCTGGGATACAGGAGGTCGTACCTCTTCACTCTCCCCGCTCTCAACACCTCACGCCCACTCATCCACCCGTCTCACCTCTCTAAACTCACCCCTCGACTCCCACTTCTCGCACTCTCTTGCTCCTTCCGTCTGCGCACCCCTCCCCAAGATCTCCCCTCGCACGCTCCCCTCCTCCTCTCTCCCCTCACTTCTCGCACTCTCTCCCCTCTCCCAGTCTCAGTCACACCAGGCCCAGGCCTCGCCCAAGCCACCAGCTCCAAGGACCCTGCAGCCGCAACAGCAGCGGCAATAACAACACAAACAGCGGCGGCAACAACAACACAAACAGCAGCAGCGGCGGCAACAGAAGTAGCGGCGAAAGGGCTCGTACCGATGACCTCCTGCAACTCGTAGTCATCCCGAGCGTTCGTCCACGCCGCGGCACCGCCACCGCCGCCGCCCTCTTCCGCCATGATGATGATGACGAGCTGAGACGGGGGGCGGGGTCCGCCCCTCTGCCTCCACCCGCGGCCCCGCCCTTTAATCAGCGGCCCTCAACACAAAGCCCCGCCCCCTCCATCACCCCGCCCCTCCGTTGCTCCGCTCAACTGATGGCCCCGCCCCTCCACCCGCAGCCCCGCCCCTCAGATCCCAAGGCCTCGCGTCACGTGGTGCAGCGTTCCCACCACCGCAGGGGAGCCGTGTGTGTTGGACCAAGTTTAACACCAACCAGGCCAAAACTGTGAACTTCAGAGAACAATGCATCTTCTCTGAGAGATAGGGTCAAATTAATATATCAGTATCAATTCACAAAACCTAAGGGGTCACGAGCGGAGCCAGTGGTGGGGGGGGGGGGCACATGCCCCCCCAATGATCCGATCGAAATTAGGGATTTCGATTGGATCATTGGGGTTTATTAGTAACTCGATTTACTACCCGGCTTCGCCCGAGACTTGGATTCTTGCCTTGGAACACATTCCTGCGGAGGGAGCTGGTAGGAACGTTGGGTTGCTCGGTCAATGGCCAGGGTCAACGGCGGCGTGGTGTATTCCGCAAATATGCCCGACTGTGAGGGCGGGCACAAGCCGGCGTGAGTAGGTTAAGCGTTGAGTTTTATAAGGGCACCACGGGGTGACCAGCCCCTCCCCACCCAGCCCCACCCCCCACCCAGCCCCACCCTCCCCACCCAGCCCCTCCCCACCCTCCCCACCCAGCCCCTCCCCACCCTCCCCACCCAGCCCCTCCCCACCCTCCCCACCCAGCCCCTCCCCACCCGGAGGGTGGGGGGATGCGTGACGTCAGCAGGCACACTGCGTGAGGCTGCCCCATGCGGGTGACATCACAGATGTGACGTCACCGCTCACTTGCCGTGAAAAATATATCCATTATTGCGCCTCCCCCCCCTAAAATACAAGTCTATTTTTATACTTTTGCATTGTGTACAGTCTGGAAGCTATCCACATTCCAAATTTCAAGTTTGTTGCATGTTGGGAAATATGCTAAACATTTCGAACACACACATTCACAAATTTCCCTTTTATATATAGATAAATCGGAATTTTACGACCCCCACTACCACTGTGTAGCATATTATTGTGGCAGGGATTCTATGAGATGAGTCATAATTGGCAATAAGTAACGGCAAAGCAGTTATAAATGACTTGTGCACAGTTGCGAAAACAGTACACGACCTCCCTGAAGGCATTCACCTTCAGCGAGCGCTATGCCGATCACACACGGTTCAAATTCGACCCTCGATCGATGGCTGCGCCATCGCCGCACACGCGTCAAATAAAAAGCAAGGGACAAGTCCTTACGAACAACTCCTTTCATTTTTCATTGCTGGAGGGGTTGCCCCCCCCCCCTACCTGAAAATCCTGGCTCCGCCATTGTAAGGGGTCCGTTATATAAAGCAACTTAAGTACAAAATACTGGGGAAAAAGGGAGCCAGGAAAATCTTACCCACGAACTCACTCTGTGCAAGAGAATGCAGATGATGTCCCCATCCCCACATTGAGAAATTGCCAACGTGAGTGTCCCCAAAGCTCACCGGCGATGAACACGAGGCGTCGAGCTGCCGCCAATAGGGGCCAGCTATGAGCACGCGTTTCCAAAGCTGTTGTGATCGCCTCTGGAAGCCGGATCTGATATGACATAATGGAAGCGTGCGTGCGTGCAGGTGTTCGGTGCCGGAATGTTGAAAACGTCTTATGGAGAGTAACTGTAGAGAGCCGAGCTTGGCTGGAGAGATCTGGGATTACGTTCCTGTGTCCGACTGAACGGGAGAATATGAAAATGTTTCGTAACATTAATCCTGTACACATAACTATCCATATATTTCATGAAACAGCACGATACAAATATATAATAATACAAAACATCAATAAATTATACTGTAATCTGGAAGTTTTATTTACCTTGGATGATTATGGGGGCGTGATGATTAAACGTTGGCGGTCATCGTTACCCTTGCTGCTACACTTCCCCCTGATCGCCCTCTCGCGTGTCTCGACACATCTGACTGTTGACTCGTCTACCATGAAATGACACCAACAGCAGACTACGCACCATCACCACCAGCAAGTCTATCCAACAACTCCATCTTTTTGAGCAAAACTCATCACCTGCCTTTCACCTCTCGCTCTCATTTCCTCCACTAACTGGACGCTTAGATCCCATGATTGAAATAAAAAAAACACACCATAAACAGGGCAAAAGTAGCACAAAAGGCTACGGGCACGTAAAGCGTACAAATGTAAGCCGTGTGAATGGCGCCACATGCGCCACAATCCAATACAGTGCTGTGCAAGTACAATATTATTCTAGCATAGTGGGAAGCTGCCAAACCGCGAAGTCAAAGGAATAATATAGTAACGCGGCGGCGCACCTTCAGCGATTTGTCCTGCCATGTTACTGTGTGCGTGTATCGTATCTCGCCAAACTGTATTGTTATATTACGGGAATTTTTTTCGCTAAACGCGTTTTTAGCTTCAAGCGGAACTTTTCAGGAATGCTTCTACCGCGTTTAACGAGGACTTATTGTTCAAATATAACATGGCAATCAAATTTGGTGAAAGAAAAATCTGCGAATGAAGAGGTTTGACTGTCCTTGGTAGTGTTGGGCGAGATTGTGCGCAAGTGTGTTGGTGTACAAGTCCCCCCTTGAACAAGCTGCTTTGCCTACTTTATTGTTCTCATCAACCGTTCAAGAAACCCTAATTACTCCTGCAGTACAACACGAGTTTGGAAGTTTCTTCCTAGCTTTATTCATCGAGTTCTGCACAAATACCGACAGCGACAATGCTATGTGTGCTTGGTTTTACATGGAAAGACAAAAATAGGAACACATGGATTAGAGAACATACCCAGGTAAACATCTAAACTATTTTAAAAAGTCGGTGGACTTGGGCAGGACACAATTCGCCAGACAAGATGATAGATGATGGTCTGGAAGAAAAATGGAGTGGCAGCCCAGGGCTGGACGCCCACCGAGGAGCTGGAGCGATGGAATAACTTAAATGAGCAGGTGCTGAGTGGACTGTTACATCGTAGGATCGTGAGGTGGCGGTAGCTTGGGGAGGGCCTTCAGCAGTGGATTGAGCATGGCTGATGATGCCGTGCTTACTCCTGAAATGAGTCTACCCATGGCCCACAGCCCATCCCGCACAGAGCGAGAGGTCACCGTAGGCCCTCCATCACTGAGTTTACATTTAACAGCATCACATTCCAATCCTTTTTTGTTACACGATCGCCGTACAGTAAATTAAATTAGTAACTGCAAAAGTCAAGGTCAATGGCGTTGCCACAACCAAGCTTTACAATAAGTGAATTTTTAACACATTTTTCTTGTTCACTTGAAAAAAATATTCAGAGACGTGGGAGCTCCTGTCCCTGACTTTGCCTCTGGTCAATTTGCTTCTGGTCAACACTCTAAGAACCCATCTGCCAGTGTTGGGCTGAATATTGTCAGTCAATACTCAACTGTGATTGCACAAGCAATCATGCCCCGACTGGCAGACATGCCCACTAACAGTCCAGATGTTGAGTCACTTTGTGCTGGAACAGCTGCCACTGGGGGTGCCCTTTCAAGTGTTCGCAATAATATGTAAGTGGTTTACTGCATCTATGAGGGCGCTCTATTAAATACGATGAATGTAACTCATGTGGATCTGTTGCAAAGGTCTCAGAAGTGTTTTGTTCAGGTAGTGGTCTTCTGCGATTCCAGCGTGAACTCTAATGACATGGGAGTTGTGGAAGTTGGAGACTCTGGATGATGGTCACACTCCTCGTGCCACTTCCTAACCATATGATGAGGCAGGATCAGAATCTCTTTCACGTGTCATTAAGGATTTCATATTCAGGGCCACGTACATCCTTTTAAGATACATTTTGATCCTATGTTTCAGTAAATACAGTAACAAAAATTAAATAGACGGTGATAGATCAGAATGCATGAGGTTTTTTGGATTAGATTGCGTAAATGTGTCGTTAAAACCCGCCACCACCAACATTTATAGTCATGGCTCTCTAACACACCGGTGTGCTGTACTAGTGACGAATTGACATGTTATGTTTACGTGACAATCCTCACTAGTTGGCTGTGTCAGGTGGTGGTGGGTATTAACGACACATTTATATATGTACGCGATCTAACCCAAAAAAGTCCTCTATTATGGATATTGGTCGCGACAGCCTACGTGTTAAACAGGTCAGAGTGCTTTTGGGAAACTGAACTTGACAATGAAAATCAAAAGACCAATGTTCGTAGAGAAGAATATTTTCCATCAGTGCTCATTTCTGTTATATGGATCAGAAACATGACCAATGACAAAGAAAAGTAAGCAAAGGCTGGAGAGTGTGCAAACGAGCAGAGAGGTGCATGCTTGGAATTACACGGAAAGAGGCACATGGATGAGTGTTATCGACATTACTGTACATAAACTAAAGTGGGTTTGGGAGGACATTGCTCGAGGATGATGGTGGTCGAGACGAAATAAATATTGGCAGCTAAAGGTGGAAACACGCCCGAGGACCTCGACTTTGGAAACGAAACGATAAGATCAGCTTGTGTGTAGGAAGGTGGATTGTTCCAATTCGTGAGTCACTGCCGTCCGCAAACACAGAAGTGGCACACTGAGCGATGGCAGTGTCCGTGTGCACGTCCACGCGCAGTGCGGCACCCCCCCCCCCCTCCTCACTGTGATTGGCAGTTACATGAAAAAAACGTTACCAGTTTGCCACGCATGAAAAATTTCACCTCTGAAAACTGAAAGGAGCGGCCACAGCGGTGGTGACGGTGAGCAGCACACCGGACTTGCAAATTAGAGGTCGTCACCTTTTCCAAGATGTCTGGTCAGTGTCGAAGAGAGCCCTCTAGTGGCGGCCCTTCCACCAATGGCGTGAGCGAGCAATTTCAATAGGCTTGTAACTGAGAGACGAGGGCACGTGAAGCACAAGGCTTAGGCTGGCATGCGGTTTTTGCTCGTCCGCACATGCCAATCACGTTCCACCAGAATCGATGACCGATTCCTGACTTTCCTAGCCAGAAACCGATTCTGAAAACAGTTACCAGTTTCCCAGTTGTGGTTTGACAGCCCTAGTCAAGAGCTTTTCTAGTTCCAAGTGTGATTCGATGAAACTTACAAAAGCAATCGGCTGCGAGAGTAGTTTTCTAAATTTATTCGTCTCAAGTCTTTGTCAAAATGTTTCATGATGAAATTAGTCATGGATCTTAAGCGAGTTCTACATTTGTTTTCGCGAATACAAGTAAAATAATACATACAAAAAGTCGGACACCCAAATGTACACGGGCAGTCAATTCCTGGAGCTTCTTACAGAGGCGCGAATTAAACACTGCACAGCGAGGTGTATGATATTCACCATCGGCTCGGACATTATGTATATACATTACATCTTTAAATACATCTCTTCAGTTGTATGCCAGTCGTTCCATCGGGATAGCTCAGGCTATGGATTAGCCCAACCGTTTCCCGACAAGGGCTTCCTGCAATTGTACAAGAGGCATTGAATTTCCACAGTTTTACCAAGTTCAGATTTGGGTCACACCATCAGTGCCGGAATTAATATAGTTAGCAATGTCACCTTTCACAAATACTGGAAAAAAGCACATGCCACCAATACACATCGATGCAGCCAAAAGCTCGTCGAAATAAATGCGGTTGATAATTAAAACCTTAAAAGTCGCGATATTAATCAATGGTTATAGCTCAATTGGTAAGGCATTGTTAACTTTTGGGGGAATCTTACAAATAATAAAGGCAGAATACTACCGATACGGAGAGTGTCATGCGGTACATGGTTTGCAGGCTACGACCAGGCTGACACACGAATATTAAAAAGACCACTCAGGTTGCCAGGGGTCAACTCAAATCCCAACGCGACTTGAATCTCATCTCAGCCAGGGTTTCGAGTGTCCCCATTGCTATGTCAGGGACGCGTGTCACGTAGATGCGCTACCTCACAATGGACATACACTCGGTTGCTGTGCACCGAAGACCAAGAGACACAAACGGCTAGTGTGGCAGTGAAGCCTGTGAAAAATGTACCCACAAATCTCTCGTGGGTTTACACACAGCAGTAATCATCGCCCCTACTGGCAGACTAATGCCATAATGGGGCAGCTGCCACCTGGTGCGTCCTTTCGAATGTGTTCATGAGATGCGAGTCAATTATCATGTGTACAGCACTGCGGAGAGCCCCCGTAGTGAAGGAGGGCAGCTCTGCCAAATACAAACAAGTATCATTCTCATGATTGGGACATCACCGGAATGCACCTAACCTCATCGCATCTTAGAAGCCAAGCAGGAGCTGCGGGGTTGTGGGTGGCAGAAAGCAATGCAGCAACATCCATTGTACCGTCCTATGCTCACCTTCACCAAGCCGCACTGACCAATGTGGTGAAATCTGGTAAAATAACCCCCACGATCCCCATGGAGTAGAGAGGTCCTCGTCCAGCAGTGGTCCGCATGTGCGCATGTAGTGGTGAGCACACCTTCGCCAGCGCATTCACCGGCGCCCGCTGAGCAGCGTGTGCCAACACCGTGGCCACGTCACCGGCTCTTTAACGCGCCTCGTACTTTGGTAAAGCACCTTGCCGAGGTGCGGTTATGCTGCCACGCACTGAGCGCACGTGCACACTCGTCCGTGTAGAGTAGAAGCAGCGGTAGAGTTGTCAGCTTGAGCCACGACATTATCAGTGACCCAAGGTCCACAACGCAATCAGTTTGGACAAAGCACCCAGGCGCAACTCGCAACGCTACACACAAAACAGCGGGACGTGCAATACAGGGAAGAGGTGGAGGAGAGGAGATCGTATTCTTGAGAGCCCAGACTTGAGCAGAATTGTCAGCACAGACAGCTGGGGGAATGGGAATTCAGAACTATGGAGGCAGCAGAGGAGAATAAACAACTTCCCGAGTGAAGTTTAACCTGCGCTCGTGATAGGTCTTGGTTGCTCATGCATAGAGCGCATGAATGGGAGTAAGAGGAAGGCAAGGGGGAAGAGGTGGGGGGGGTGCGGGATGAGAGAGAGAAGTAGGCAGTAACGAGGCTATAGAGAATCTTGAAGACGGCGAGTGGGAGCTGGTGAAGGGATCGGAACAGTGGCGGCTCCTGCAAAATCTCTCAGGGGGGGCAAATGTCTGGATGATTGATAAGGATAAGGTCCACCCATGCAATGGATACATTAACAGCTTAAGCAATTTAAAGGCAACTTCACTTCTTTAATATTAATGAAAAATAAAGTGACTCTTACAATACATCTCCTTGTTTGTTTCTATACTCACTATTAATAGAATCCACTCAAGTTTATTTTATTAAAGATTCCACTAGGTGGCAACAAATTATATTGTTGAATGAAACGTGCTTACGTATGATGACGTAAGCACGTTAGGGCGAGCCCTCCCGGAAGTCATAGAGAATGCATTGGAGCGCCCGCCGTTCGAAAAAAAAACATCTTTGAATGTAAGTCTATGGGGCCACTCGGGGCGATTCTCAGCCGGAGTGAAATCGCCCAAAAAGAGGCGGTACTCCACAGAACGTGACATGACGCTGATTGGACTATATCCAGAGGCACAGTGACGGCTAGCGTGACTCTGTGGTTGAATGACATTGGTGGTGCGTCGCCCAATCGCCCTAATGAAGAAACCGCCCCTGGATCGGAATATTGGGGTGACATGCTCTTGACAGCGGCATGTTGGGTCATCTGGAGGTTGCAGGCAATGGATTTACCTTGAAGATCTGCAGCTGTCAAGACGTGAAGACATGGATGAGGGACTCGGCAGGAAGCTGGAGCAGAGCAGTGGCGGACGTGGGAGATGTGGCGCAGATTGAGCAATGAGTTCAATAATTGGCATTGTGCACCAGCGACCATGCAATGGGCATATGTGCCTCTGGCCAAACCCTGGCTGGAGCAACGTACATCAGCACTGGGAGGATAGAAGCGGGCAAGTGTGGTGCAGGCACGTGGTGCTGGACAAACAAGTTGCTTGCTCGCGGCCCTACCCAACACGTTCTGTCCAAGTGAAAATGGGATTTAGGAGTGGTGTGCGTGTACAGGAAACGAAGGCGCATGTTACACAGAGGTGGAGATGTGAGGCGGAGAAACTTCTACTGCAATCACCGTGCGAGAGGAGGAGCAGCGCAGGCTATCGTCATACTCCGAGGGCTGCATACTCGGCAGTCACTGCAGTAAGGGTCCCAACCGCTGCTCTGCAGCGCAGTGGCTATGTACAAGTTCCGTTTTAATCACAAATCGTCAATTTGCTTGCTTTTTAAAACACACCGATTCAAATCTGGCCTACAGTTTAATCAGGCATAGTGTTACTGATAGACAGGGTGCCCCGTGGTGCAGCATTCACCTGATGTGTCTTATTACACAACTGTATAACAGTGGCAACAGAGGGCTACACGCACGCACACACGCGCACCACAAACACACACATACGCACGCGTTCAGGGCATGATCAACATGGCAGCTTCAATACAAAGACTCCTTTCAAAGAAAGTGACTGCGGCTTATATACTCCCTACTTTCCGCTATCGCCATCAAACTACAACCGTCACCCTAAGGCATGCCACTCACTCGACTTGATTTCCGTGAAGACAACGAGCGGACAGAGAGATGTCTACACAGATGTTAACTTCTCTCCAGATATGGTGTTGCCTACAAAGAAAGCCGAGGTTCTCCCAGAGCGTGAGACAGGAGGGCTGCTGGGCCCCAGAGGGGGCTCTAGAGCAGGGGCTGCTGCTGCTGTGTATACAGGGCCTGCGGCGGGGGCTGCACCGGCTGCACGGCATGCGGTGCGTTGTGCAGGCTGCTGTAAGCGGGCCCTGGGAACGTGCCGGCCACGCCGCCGGCTGCTGGGAGGCTCCCGGGAGGGAACCCCGTGGCCTCTACTCCGACAGGGCCCGGCGGCCCCATGTACACAACGTGGCCTGCGCCAGGCAGGGCACTGCAACAAGACGACAGCGGGACGCACACTCACACACACAGCACCCACATTCACCGTCGCCATGGGATACGCACAGCACATGAGACAAGGAACTGTGATAAAAATGTACAGAAGTCACCCGAAGCTCTCTCACACATACACCTGGGGCTTCAGGGTTGTAGAATCAAAGTGGTGCTGGTCACACAAAGCCTAGGTATTATTGACGATGATTGCTTTTGATAAGAGTGCCCTTTAAGCCAGGGTAGTCTTGGAGCGCTGTACACGTGGTAAGCGATTTATATCTCATCTCAAACATTTGAAAAGGCACACCCAGTGACAGCTGTCTCTCTGGGCTTACGGTGACAGCACCTGACTTGCAGATGGGCATGAGACGGCCAGTAGCGGTAGCGCATACATCGCTCATTGCAGTAATAATCAGGCAGCCCTGATTATTACTATGGGGTGTATTCGCCATAGAAATACAGTCTGCTTCATAGTGGATATTAAAGATCATTTAATGTTGTTTTAAAGAGTAGGCCATTGTGTGCTGGCGGCATGGTCCAAATTTGCCAAATATAACAAATTAGCTACAAATTACTCAACTGGAATTACACACAGAGAAAAAAAATCACTCCCTACTGTCAAATTACTGCAGGCATTGTCTGTGAAACATAGCGTCTTCGTAATAGCCTTGGGCGTTAGCAATGGCAAGAATACCAAAAGTACTAAATTATAAAAAAAAATTATAACAGTGCAAGGGCCAGAGTGGATATGGGTACCACCTAACATCTTAACATTTCAGTCACACCGATTACTTAGCTCGGACAAATAACTTTTGTGAACCATAATGAAATTATTTTTCATAAACTTCAAAAGCGATCCAAGGTGATTACTGAGTATGTAAACAGAGTCAAACACAACTGCAAGTGAGGTTATCGTAAAAAACCCACGGCTTAGAACTGCGATTTGCATGGGAAAGTAACCAAGGCCGTACAAACAATACAATTCCTGGTGTTTGGGGCATTCGCAGGGATTGAGTGAGAATCAGGTGAGTTTTGTGTCCTCAGTACGGCGCACTTTAGTGCTGTGGGGCATCTAAAATGTCGAGGTGATGTCAACAAGTCAAACAGAGGCCAAGCCAGAGCCGAGTCTCACTGAGAATATGGCCCAAGTGACGCATCCTGCACCCATGTTGAGGACTCAGTCTAGTAGACTGACTCTTCCATCTCATCCATCACACCGTGTCCAACCATTGCCACACTGCAGGTCACAACAACATACTCCCTCACTCAAACACCCACCCATCCAATTACTCACACTCATTCACTCACTCCTCACCACACTGCAGTTCAATACACATCACTTGCAGCTTCTTCCCTTACACTGCTCCACTTTGGATTCCCTCCAATTATCTTTTTTCCCCAAGCTCAATTTGCTAAATGCATTACCCTTTTTGCTATTACACATATGATAGTGCTGTTTGTTGCTGAACATTTGGCGTGTTGGACCATTGGACCTGTGCTCAGCAACTGTGTAAAAAAAGTGTGTGTGGTAGCCAACGCCACCGGCGGTGCTCCACACTTACTTGGTGTAGGCGTGGCCGGGTTGGCTCCCCCCCGGGCCCAGGGTGGGAGGCAGTGAGGCAGCACTTGGACCCTGGCCGCCATCGGCAGGTCCGAGATAGTTATGAGCCGTGCCCGGCACCATGTATCCGCCACCACCGCCAGCGCCAGCAGCAGGGCCACTGTACGGCTGCTGCTGCTGCTGCTGCTAGTGCCAAGTCACACACACACACACGGGGACAGGAACGTGGTGTCAAAAGTCAAAAGTGATTTCTCGCTCAAACGTGAGTTGAGGTGAGGCTGTGATGTGGCCCAGCGGTAGGGCGTTCGCCACTTGTTGCAGAGGTTCGCAGTTCGATTCCAGCGGGTTTCCCTGGTTATTACTGCAGGTGAATTAACCAGAGAAAAATGCATGTTGTCTGTTTCACAGTGGACCTTAAGAGATCCCCTGACATCGTTCTAAGGGAGAAGGCCATTGTGTGCCAACGCCAAGTATACAATTTGGCAAATTCGAAATATTATCCTCAAATTATTCAATTGGATCACACACAGCAGTAATTATTGACCGCCAGTGGCAGACTAATGAGCGTTTGGAGGCCAGGTGCCCACTGGGACAGCAAGTCACGTTTTGCATGTAAAGGGTTCTGAGACGCCCGGCCTGAAGGGCGCTCTATCAAAAACAAATCATTGTCATTTCCTCTCCTGTGTACAGCCCTGAGCCAGTGGTGGAAATTCTACATTCATACGGTGGAGTGAGTCGATCCATAGGACAACCACTGTTGACAAAGTGGCACTGATTTTTCTACCCCGGAGGGATGATGGGCTGAGTCGACCCCCAATCAGAATTTGAACTTGCAACCTTCAGATTGCGAGCCGCTTGCTCTAGCGCAGAATCACGCAGCCCCTTCGAGTACGAGAGTGTTACAATAGACATGTGGATGCTATGTTCGCCCGGCCTTACGCCGCAGAGCTCACAGTCAGCTCACGCGCACAATACGTGTTACTCAGCCGGAGGAACTTGACACCGACATTTTGAATGTAGCACGGAAGCTCAAAACACTTCGGAAGTGCTCTTGAACGAAACAACACAGCATCGCGAGCGAGGGGGCTGCCATGGTGGATTCAATGGTGAGCGCACTGGACATTAATGTTGTACAGAAGCAACATTTATGAAACCCCACCACCACCACCACCACCTCTACCCTCCCAGCGATATAAATGGGTACACTGTAGTCAGTTGATCTACGGGTTGCGTGTGGTGGTGGTAGAGTGTGGGTACTCTTGCAATACGTCTGGGCCAGCGTGGAAGAGTAAGCCAAATACCCTCTATAAGGGCTCTCTACAGCTCCCTCTAGTGTAGGCCATTCCGCCAGCAGTGGTGTAGATAGGGAATTGCAGGGCTGCCCTCTCGTGCAGTAGAAGACACGGGCAGTGGGTGTGACACTCTAGTGGCCCTGATTGAAGCCAGTTTCCACAGCGATTCTCCCCGCCGCTCTTCCTGGCTCTGAACAATAACTCAGTACGTTTGGTTTTATTTCCATTCTTACAGCGTAATGAGATCATCGCAAAGGCGCTGCTGTGTTTCACACAGCCTGCAGTAATTTCACAGTAGGGGGGTAATGTTGCTGTGTGTGATCCTAACTTAGCAATTTGCAGCTTATTCTTCAAAGTTTGTCAATTTTGACCGTGTTGCGGGCACACAATGGCCTACTCTTTATGAATGCGATCATAGGATATTTAACGGCCACTGTGAGTGAGTTTTACACACACCGCAGCAGTAACCACGGCGGTCAGAATCAGAATATCGAAATCAGAATATTTGTTTATACTGGATGAATCTGATGAGCAATGAAGCTCAAATGTTCGTCAGGAGCGAACGCACGACCGCTGCGACGTCAGAGTGACGCGAGTATGACGTCAGCATCTCCTGAATCAAGCGAGGGTCTCCACCCGTGCGCGGTGCCGAGCGCACGTGGGACCGGTGGCGAGGCCCGGTGTGTGCAGCCAGGGCCGCCCGTAAGGGTGGTGCGAGGCTCAGGGCAAATCCCACCGTGTGAGTCCCCGACACCTTCAAACTAAACCGGAGGTATTCCATCTGGCACCACTGTGACATGGATGCGCAGGGCTCACCAAAGCGCGGTGGACCGGGGAGGTCGCCCCGATAAGCTGCTACCCTCGGGATACCTCTGAATGCAGCCTGCACCTCGAATTCTGCTCCTTGGGCTTTGGCCCCCCTCACCTGCGAGTAGTAGTGCTGCTGCTGCTGCTGCTGCAGGGACGGCTGCACCTTCCCATAGACGCCATAGCCGGGGGCCTCATTCATGAGCTGGTTGTACAGCTCAAACGCTTCCATCACCTTCACGTTAATGTCCGACAGCTCAGAGTGTTTCCTGCGAACATCAAACAAAACAGTTTAACACGTAGGCTTTCGCGACCAACATCATCCATAATACCTGCACAGGTATTATGGATCAAACATAACAGTGGCTCGGCTCCACGGCTCCACTGGCGGTTTTGGGGGTAGCGTTCGTGTTGCGATTGTGCCGGGTAATCGATCCGATGATTTAAATTGACTCTTGCACCCATGGCGCTTGCGCCATGGGTGCACTGATCACGCTCACACTGTACGATAGTCAACCTCTAGACTTTGAGTGTGCTCAATACAGAACACGCGACACGGACGATAACAGTGAGACAGCACAAATGGGATGAAGCATTGATTCTGAAATTTATATTTCTACAGACCATGGAGGTGAGAGGGAGGGGAGACAGGTTAATCACTGCCATAGTTTTACAGTGAGAGGCGGAGCTGAGTTATCTGAGAAATCTCAACATCAGGCCTAGCCAGGGGAATTACAACATTTCCGAATTATACTTGTTTCAGATTGATAAAAAAACAGGACGTGACATTGATAACACAACATCAGTTTCTCTGTTCCCGACAAAAACAGTGTCATGTAATATCTAATGACGTCACATGCATAGAGTATCCGTGTGGGTTTGTGTCTCGGTGCGAGTCTATGGGTTTCTATGAGAATCTGTACCTAGGTTTAAGTCTACTGGGCATCTGTGAAAAAGAGCTTTATGGAACATTGGATATACATTCCTCCAGTACAAATATATATTCTAAGTCTTCTAAATATTCTGATGTTTCTCTTTGTGAATCTATAGGTCTCTGTGTGAACTTGTGTCCACGGATAACAATCTCTGAGGGCACAGGTGGTAGACCCTAGCTGGGATGTGATGCCAGCAGCTAGAATCCAGATATGGAATTACAGAATTACAGTTGCTCCTCAATTCGTATCCATGCAGGAGAGATTGATAAGAGATGGGGATTGTGCAAAGTGTATGCTTCAATCAAAAGGGGTACGCACCGGTCAATGTCCTCCAGCTTTTGGTCGATCAGAGGCCCCATGTGCTGGCACGACTCTAACGCAGAGCAGCACCAAGGGAAAGCCAGTGAGAGCGCGTCCGAGTCTCAGTCAGTGGTGTCAGGTCGCCATTTCATGAATATCCAAATCCACGTCACAGCTTAAGTTGACATGTAGAATTCAGCTGTCAATATCGTGGTCAATAATTGGTTTTGCCATGTGTAATTATTTGACCAAATTTGTGTCGCAAGGACCTGTCACCACCCGACCCAACCGTTACTGTTTCAGCTCACTTTCTCGCTCACCCACTCGCTCACCCACCCTCCCACCTACCCTACTCACCGATTCACTCACTCACTCATCGATAAAATTACAACCACATTTAGTGATTAGATTAACGACCTTTCGCTTGAAACTGCGTTGAGCATCTCCAGGGATAAGGTTCAGGAAGTAAAAAAAACAAGCCAGGAAGTCAGAACTGTGTCACCTGACCTCACAGGAATATACCAACCAATCAGATTTAATCTAGATATTAACCATTGCAAATTTATGTATTTTAATGCTATTTTGCTTTATCTGAGCTAACTGACTAGCATGGCATGCATTATTCATAGTGGATCATGTTGGCTGTGAAACCCTCCATGTCAAAGATGGTCTCACTGCACAAGTAACCTTGGAGTCTGCGTGTGGCCTCGGCGAAGGAGCTCATCGCGACAGACAGACACACATCTCGGTGCCTCCCTCTCTAGAGCAGCAGCCTGAGGTGGTTCCTACTGCAGTCAGCAGCCTCAAGCTAGTGCTGGAAATTCCACATTCTTATGGCAGGGGACAGTATCTTCATTGGACAACTGCCGTTGACTGAAAGTTTGGGTAAGGTTGCCATTTAGCTGCTGCTGCTGCCGATGCTGTCGCTGTTTCTGCTGTAACTCAGTAGTGGTCAATACACCAAGCAATCGGATCATCCATTCAGATGACTCGCAACGGGCTCTGTGATCCACCAGCAATGCTCTGACCAACAAGATGGATTTAACCCTGTAATATACGACAGACATACAACAAAAGTGCCATCTATTGGAAGATGTTATGATGATTTAATGCATGAATTCTTAAGTCACAGATTGTTATTCGTCATTAGCCATCACGAAAATTGTTTCCTGTTTATGTTCGTGTTTGCTCTTATGAGTCTTGAGATGCACAACAAAATATTTTCTGATCAACCACCCATGGGTCGGGATCCACTGCTGCTGCTAGAGGAGTGTATAAGAGAGTGTGTGTACTTTACCGAAAGAACCAAAGAATAATTCCTGCAGTCACGAAAGTTCCAAAATTAAGAGAGTGTGTGTATGGAGGAAGACTTGCGTACTGTAGAGCGAAGAGCACTGCCGTGATACAAAGCGTTTAAAAGCTGATGAGCGAAAATAAAGGACAGGCGCTGCAGTAGTAGCTAAAGACTACGGGCAGTGGAAGTGCTATTGGCCAAATATCCGAACGTTGAAAAAATGCCCTCTCTTTACTCAATTGGGATATAACACAAGGCAATATCGCCATCCTGCGGAAATCTGGCAGGAACTTCCCGAAATAGAGAAGCTTGGTGGGGCTTTCCTAGGTAAATGAGCGTAACAACAATAATAATTAACAACAAGTGGCAGCACGGTGCCAGCGCCGTACCCTCCAAATAGAGCAGCTCAGGGGGGTCGGGGCGCTCGTCGGCCGGGTCGGCGCTCTGCAACATCCTCAGCAATGTGTCCATCTTCTCCTGCGCACACACACACACACAAAGGTTCCCCATGTAGCTGTTAACACGTTTTCTTGGTTCTTTCGTGACTTTACCGAAAGAACCAAGAAGATGAATCCCTGCAGTCACGAAAGCTTTAAATCGAAATGTTAACACGTTGTTGGGGGGCAAGCGTGAGCAGCAATGAAGGCGGACATGGTGCACAAGGGGGTGGTGTGGTCGACACCACGCCCACCTTTTTCTGTGGACAGCACAGTGGTGCAGTGGTAACACTCGGTGGTGAGAAGTTAACTACCTCGACTGCTTTACAGGAAGTCGTGGGTTCGATCCCAACCCTGATGCCTGTATATTTGGAGCTTGCGTGTTCTCCCTGCGGTCGCGTGGATTTTATCCGGGTCCTCTGGTTTTTCCCTCCACATTTAGAGCCATTTATTCCGAGTATTTGGCTGCTATAAATTTCCACATGATAAGCTACATTGCTGAGTTGTCATTTGTGGCCAGGTCGCTTCTGGAAAAAAGAGCTATATAGCTCAGTGGGCATTAGCTGGTAAAATTAAAACAAAACATTTAGTTTTAAAAAGTCATGGGTTCAATTCCTGACTAGGGCACCTCTCTGTGTGGAGTATGTATGGTCTCCCCATGTTCCACATGGATTTCCTCTGAGTTTTCCACTTTTCTCCAATAGTGTAACTAGCATCGGACAAACATCCCAATGCTGAAACTTTACCTTGCAAAGTACTCAATTGGGATCACACAACAAAAGCAACATCGCACCTACTGCAAAAAACTTGGCAGGACATGCCTGAAAAATAGTTGAGAATTAGCAAGGCTTTCTGGTAAACAATAATAATTAACCAGTACTGGCTGAGCATTTGCGTGGGATCCATGGTTGGGGTGGAGGGTGGGTGGGCAGAGGCATGACGTTCGCGCGACGCATGCACCCGGCTCAACGCTGTGGGATGCGGGTGACGACATCATGCAGATGTGTGCTGTGACGTCACCACCACGCACTTGCCTGCTCGCGTGCCAGCCAGCAATGTCTTTTTACATATTTTACACAGTGCAGGCAGGCCGTCATCCATCAGTGGGCTGAGAATGGGCTGCACAAGTGCAACGCGTGTGGCAAGGTGAGCTGGCTCGGGGGAGGTGCTCACTTCATCGATGAACAAGGGCTCGGGCTCCGGCTCGATGGCTTCCACCTTCACCTCGTCGCTGAACTGTACCGTTTTCTTCTCAGTCTTTACGGCTGTTAAAACAACAATGCAGCCGCCTCACACTCTCTCACACTGAGTCACACTCACTCCATCACGATCTCACACTCACTCATCGTCTTACACTCACTCACATACTCTCACTCAACTCATTCACGTAATTACACGATCGCTTCCGCTCAAGCTCTCACACTAACTCACTCAACAATAACCATTGTTTGCCACTAGTCGCGGTGATGTTACCATAGCGCTTGTGCCAGGCTAGGTGTACTTTGAGGGCACATGAAGTGTTGAGGATTCGCTGGCAGGAGGTTTCAGAAAGGATCCAGGCGCCATGGGTTGACTGAGATTGTCAGTAGATGCACCACCTGTGCTCCCCACTGTGTCAACTTGCTGTGTTTTAGTCATTTGGTGCTTTGCTCTTTGTTGTGAATGTCGCTCCTCCATCCTCCATCATTGCTGGAGGGCGAGTGCCTCCAATTAGCCAGGAGGATCCTTCACGAGCCTCTTACACAGAGCTCGATCTTGACACCACTGGTACCAGTCATCGGCAAGTCCAATCAGCTCCACATTATTTTGTATCACATCAGTCCATCTCTTCCTTAGCCCGTGCCATGCCCGTTTAGCCCCATCTATCCAGCCAACATGCGTGCTACAAGGCCAGCAAAGTGGCGACATGTTATCTCCTTTACCTGGTATGCAGAAAGGCGTGAGTCTGACACCTGTCTGTTTGGAGTTTGCGTGTTCTCCACGTGGTCTCATGTATTTTTCTCTGGGTCCTACGTTTTTTCCCTCCACATGTAGAAACATGCGTTTTAGTTTATTTGGTTGCTATCAATCTCCACATGACACGCCACTTCATTGAGCTATCATTTGTGGCCAGTTTGCTTCTGAAACAGAGCTATTAACTCAGTGGGCTTTACCTGGTAAATTAAAAATAGTTTAAAATAAATAGATAATTGTTTTGAGCTGACTTAGTTGAACTATCATTTGTGGCCAGGTTACTTCTGAAAAATACCTATCAAGTCAGTGGGCTTTACCAGGTGAATAACATAGTTTAGTTTAGCTTAGTTCAAGACCCAGGCAATGCATCTTGCTTGCCGGAGGAACTCACCGATTGGACTGTGTCCAGATCTTTCAAGGATCCTTGAGTTCCTCACACAATCCAAGTTTGGTTAAACCCAGGATGGATCGTACGCAGACCAGTCTAAATGTTTCAAACTGGCGTAGATATTCCTTGAGGGCTCCACATTTCGCAAGAATATGGAAGAGAGGGGCATAACTGTGCTGAGTAGACCCATCGTTCTTTTATGGAGCAATCGACCAGTTGGCTTCCACACGGCATTAAAAAGCTGATGAAAAAATGCCTCTCGACTGATTCGGAGACCTCTACTGCCAAACTGGAGCTGGTTGTAAGCACGTTGCCCAGGTATGGAAACTTCTCCACTCTTTCCACAACTGCCCCATCACTCATGGGGAGTGGAGGGCGGGGATTATTCGATGAGATAAAATACCTAAGCAGGTGGTTTGTTTTTGTGGGGCTGATGGTAAGGCCACTTATCTTATAATAACATGCTTCACATTCATAGCAGGGTCTGCCACTCCTACTTAGAAGGATTGGGGTTCTTCAAGCCTCTCCTCAGCATGTCTGACAATGTTATATTGAATAATCCTTGGCAGGACCGTTCCCGGCCTCACACTGAGCAGGGAGATGCTCTGGTAGTTGTTGCCATCAGTGCGATCCCCCTTTTTTCACTGAAAATCACTGACTGATTCTCACTCTCATGCTCAAACGCTTTCTCTGCAGAACAGGGGGAGAACATAAAAAAATCCTCTCACTCGGTCACTCACTCTCTCACTCACTCACTCACTGTCACTCACTCGGTCACTCACTCTGCAGCATAAAAGGAAAACACACAAACTCCACGCAGAATTGAGTCAGGAATCAACCTCAGGCACTTCTTGCTGTGAGGGATGAGTGTTGGGCCAGGTTACCAGCCTTGGTCTCACAGTTTCTGGTGAGCACGTGAATTATAATCCACTGCCATTCACAGGAAGGGAGCGAGGTGACCCGTGCTGCCCCATGCTTTCCCATGCTGTCCCGTGCTGACCCGGGCTGACCCATGCTCTCCCGTGCTGATCCTTACTAACCTGCATTGATCCTTGGTAACCCGTTGCTGTCCCATACCAACCCGTGCTGTCCCGAGCCGACCCATGCTGTCCCGTACTGATCCTTTCTAACCCGTTGCTGTCCCATACCAACCCGTGCTGTCCCGTGCTGATCCTTGCCAACCCGTGTTGATCCTTTCTAACCCGTGCTGTCCCGTGCTGACCCGTGCTGACCCGTGGGACGGGAGAGGCGGACGCTCTCTACTCACGGGCTTCCGGCTCGGCCGTCAGGTCGGCTGAGACGAAGTTTGATGGGAACAGCCCCGATCCCTTGTGGGTCTCGCCCTTCCACCAGTTGGGGTCACTGCAGACACAGGCATGAACAATATAAAATTACTCGCCTTTTGCCCGTCCAAGGACGGGTGTATTGCAGTAAATCTGAAACTTGCAAGCGAAAAGCAGACCGCGACGTGATATTCATTGCATCCATTTGTGTACAATTTGTAAGGCTGCGGTGACACACACTTATTTCATTTAAAGGTTATAATCCCTTGTTCATCATGACGTCCTTTTTACTTCTATGTCTTAAAAGCGTTAGGGAGATCGCATGACGTGAGAGTTCTGCCTTTGTAGTGAGGGTTATAAGTTGATGCTGAGGAGGGGGGAGGAGGCGCCTCGCCCCCCCATGTGGAGTGACGTCACCTGCTAATTATTAATGGGGGGGGGGGGCTGTCCATTTGTAGGACGTCACCCGTTAATGATTATTAATGAGGGGGGGGGGTCCATGTGGAGGACGTAACCTGTTCATGATTATTAATAAGGGGGGCTGGTGGACGTGGAGTGACGTCACGCGCGGGACACACAGACATTCTTGGCTCATTATAGTAGTAAATAATCACGTTGTGTTGTACATTTGGCATTCTCGCTATTCTTTTCATAGCGCATGGCTAGCATCACGAAGACAGGTGATGCTGGTGACCTTTTTAATAATGTATTGGGAGTAACCCCTGCTCAGCTCATACAATTTCCTGCACGCCTGTCCAAACATTGAACAAATTTAGTTTCCAGCCTATCCACGAAAGTAATGTTCTGAAACAACTTTCCTACCTCAAAGGGTCCTCCTCTACCGGAGCAGATAGTATTCCCGTCTTTGCTCTGCTAACTGTTGGTCACCTAATATACAAACCTATAGCCCATATTTTCAACCTGTCCATCAAAGAATCATCAGTACCTCTAGAATGGAAACATTCCTATTTTTGTCCACTTCACAAAGGGGGCCCTAAAGATGATCCAAATAACTACCAACCTATCTAAATTTTGTCCCCGTTTTATTGAACTACCAAATTAGCAGTTTCCTGTCCAACAACAATCTCTTACATCGAAACCAATCTGGGTTCGAAAAAAATACAGCATCAAATCTGCTGCATTAGACTCTCTGAATCACATTTAATAAGCAGTAATGTGCCAGTCTATTTCTTGACTTGTCCAAAGCCTTTGATACAGTCGACCACAACATCCTGCTTAGTAAACTAAGTTGCCTCTGTTTCTCCAAACCCGCAGTGGAATGGTTAAAAAATTACCTCTCTTCTCGCACCCAAACTGTATTCATAGATGGCTGGAGGTCAAACAGTGTTTAGATAACAAAAGGGGTTCCCACAGGGTTCCATCCTCGGCCCCCTCTTGTTCTCTCTTTATGTCAATGACTTGGGCACTGACCTTGATCATTCCAGGGTAAATTTTTTGCAGATGACACAATACTAATTACTGCTGGCCACTCTCCGGATGACGTGATTGCTAAGCTCCAGGGTGATTTCAACAAACTACAACGTCAGCTAGTTTCTCTTAAACTAGTCCTGAATACCTCCAAAACCAAGGTGCTATGCTTCTCACCAGGACTAAATCAGGAAGTCATTTTTTCCCCAATTACATTCCTTAAATAATTATCAAATAGAGCAAGTCAATATCTATAAGTATCGTGGGGTCATCCTTGAATCAAAACTGATTTTTCAAGATCACATTGATTATATTGGTAAAAAGACAAAAAAAATTGGTTTTCTGTATCGACACAAGCACTGCTTCCCCCCTATGTTCCGTTTGGAATTGATAAAAAGCTACCATACTGCCTCTACTTGATTACTGTGACATCGTATATAAATCAGCCCCCAGTACTATACTGAAGAAGCTTGACTCAATTTATCACTCGGCCTTAAGATTTGCATTGAACTGCCCATATAGGACCCACCACTGCGATCTCTACATTGGGTCAAACTTAACATCTCTTAATGATCGACGGCTTGTGCATCAGATCTTATTTATTCACGATGTACTTACAAAAAAATCCGCAGACTACCTGCTGGATCTCCTCACTGTTTCGAAGAACAAATGTGACCTAAGGTCTTCGCTCATTTACCAGCTTCACATTCCTTATTGCTGTATAAATACTGGAAGAAGGGCTTTTGCTATTGATGCGCCCAGGGTCTGGAATGCTATCGCCAATAAACTGCAACTTGGATCACTACCTGTGAGATCTTCACTCAAAACTACTCTAGAGGAGTTGAACACCCCTAGCTGCCACTGCTATTCAGTGGCCTGAAATCAAATGTATCGCTCCGGATGACCGCTGCAAAGTATGATCTTGAGTTTTGACTATAGTGTGCTGATCTTTAAAGATACATTGAAATTTTTTGATACTCCGACTGATGCTCCTGCTGTTGTGGAGTGACTCATGCAGCCAGCTATGGCTGCAGGGTTTGGTAGTACATGTTGTTTATGTCGTTCATTGTGAAAATTCGGTCACAGTTCCTATGATCACTGTCTCAGTTGCTTTCATGGCTTTATTTTGGTGATTTCGAAAACGTTTTGGTTTAGCCATATTTGATTGTTGTAGTACAGAGTTAGACTGATAACTTTAATCTAAATTGTTGTATGGTTGTTATTGTTTGACTTGCATCCCACTGGGATTTTTGCACGCATCGTTGATATACGGTGCTTTTTCTGGAAGACTTTGCTGTTTTTTCCAGGATTTTTCTGTTGCGCGTAGTCACTTTAAGATGTTTCTTGTTCATGTTTTTGTTTGTTGTGGTTGCACCCGATTCAAGAGCCGAATGGCTCACAGGGCTATACCTAATAACTGAACTGATGTCACCAGCGACAAAGCAGAGAAAGAGCATTCACTATCGGATGATGTCGATTGAGGTGCATTTATTCATTGCGAGACTCGGCCAGCATCAGCAGCAAATACAGGTGACAAAGACCTTGCTTGAGGTGTAGGGATTCTTACGGAGCTCCAAGTTGAGAAAAACACTTTTTCTTTTTATATTGTGGATACTACAATGGTTACTGCGGTAGGCGCCGTATTCATTATTGTAAAAAATATATAACAGGCTTTACACTTTCCGGCAATAATGCAGATGTTAAGATGTAGTAGTTACTGCAGTCTTGATTTAAAGCTTTCGTGACTGCAGGGATTCATATTCTTGGATCTTTTGGTAAAGTCACATAGATAGGTTCAAAGAAAATAAAAATTCACAATAAACTACGATGTTTCGATCGCAACACAAGCGGTCATCTTCAGGAAAAGGGGGGTTAGCTTCCAAGGCAAACTGTTTATACAGGTAGGAACTACAGTTCCACACTGCCCACCAGGTATTATTTGTCTGTCTGTCGTGCATGGCCCCGCCCTACCAGAGCCCTCCCATTGGCTCGGAAGCGCCGACCAATGGGAGCGGTGGGTTAGGGTTGGTGGGTTAGGGTTGGCACCGCCGCGACTCGGGCCAATGAGGAGACGGGCCATGTTTAATTCACAAAATTGAACTGGGGGAGGGTGGCTCCATTCATAAATGGAAGCCTTGAAAAGAAAAAAGCAGATCTTTTTGCCTCGTGTTTCTTTCAACATTCCCAGCCTTAAGGTTCTTCAGTTGGGAGTGGGAGGGGTGGGGCTGGGTGGAGAGGGGAGGGTGAGGAGGGGCTGGGTGGGGAGGGAGGGGCTGGGTGGGGAGGGGCTGGGTGGGGAGGGTGAGGCTGGGTGGGGGGTGGGAGGGGTGCAGCTGGGTGGGGAGGGGCTGATCACCCCGTGGTGCCCTTATAAAACTCAACGTTTAACCTACACACTACACTATACACGATACACTACACTTATACAGGTAGGAACAACAGCTTCCACACTGCCCAGCAGGGATTATTTGTCTGTCTGTCGTGCACAAATGCGCTGTCCAACCAAGTTCCTACCTGCCCACTCCGAAGGAACGTGTTTAGGGTTTGAAGTGGGCGTAGCCCAAATGTCAGCAGCCAATGATAATGTAAGTGGTGGACAGCCAACCCGACGGTGGTTGGTTTTCCACCAATTAAAGGGCTGCCAGGTGAAAATTAGCATGTTAAAGAAAGATTAGCATGTTAATGGGATATCGCAGCGCCGCAACTAAGGGGGTCGGCGCGCGAAGTGACTGTGAAAGCGCAAGTTTGAAAAGCACAACTATCATCGGAAGGTGGTAGGATGGGAACATCATAGCCTAGCCAAATATGACTTAAACTGGTTGATAACGTCCTTCCAATGATTGCTCAGTTTGTACCAATCTTATCAGTTGAAATTGTGTCTGTTTGATCAAATTGATTTCTTTAAGACGAAGGTACTTTGCAAGCCCACTGGCTATCAACAAAGATTCGTTCATGAAACCATCCATATATATAGACACAGACACAATTTCAACCAAGAAGATGGGTACAAACTGAGCAAAAATTGGAAGGACGTTATCAACCAATTTAAGTTATAATTGGCTATATTGTTCCCATCCGACCACCTTCCGATGTTGGTTGTGCTTTACGCCCATTTCAAACTTGCGCTTTCACAGTCACTTTGTGCGCCGACCCCTTGGTTGCTGCGCTCTCCCATTAACATGCTAATCTCTCTTTAACATGCTAATTTTCACCTGGCAGCCCTTTGATTGGTGGAAAACCAACCACCGTTGGGTTGGCTGCCCACCACTTACATTATCATTGGCTGCTGACATTTGGGCTATGCCCATTTTAAACCCTTATAAACAATTTGCCTTGGAAGCTAACCCCCCTTTTCCTGAAGACGACCACTTGTGTTGTGATCGAAGCGTCGTAGTCTTTTGTTATTTTTTGTTATTTTCTTTGAACCTATCTACGTGACTTTACCGAAAGACCCAAGAATATAGTTACTGCAGTGGTCACTGTAAAAGTGCCTTTAATAGTGTATATGTAGTTTGTCTCTTAACTGTGATTCTTAAATATGCTATTGTTAGTTTTATTGTTATGTCAGAAAGACTTAGTCTGTGTGCTTTCCAATTGCGTGGGTGAAAAGTGGGCTACTTTTTTTGCCCAATCCTGGCCAGCTGGCCCGACAAACTAAATACAACACGATCGTTGAATGCTCATTGTTGTAGGTGTTGTAGGCAGTCACCTGTCATCCAGCACGGAGATGACGTCGCCGGCGCGGAACGTCAGCTCGTTGTCCTCCGCCGCCTCGAAGTCGTACATGGCACGCACCTTGCGCGCATCGCCAGCGGCGCTGCGGGCCAGCGCGGCGCCACCCAGTGCCGTCGCCGTGGGGTACAGCGAGGCCCCCGCACTCACGGGGGTCCCCACTGCCAACCCCGTGGTTTCCTTCAACGACAGCTCGATGGCTGCGGGCGCAGAGCGTGGACATTGTTTGAGCCGTGGCTGCTGCTGCTACTGATGTGACACTCGTAGCAGCTATAGCAACAAGCTGCATTGGCTACAACAGTAGCATCAGTTAGAACAGCATCAGCTAGAACAGCAACCACAGTTACAGCAGCAAAAATTACATTGGCAGCAACTACAGGAGCAGCAGCTATAACAGCAGCAGCAGCATCTACAACAACATCAGCTACAACAGCATTGTTAAACGCTCACACACCAATCTATTATGAGACTATCCTCATCTTTTGAGATCTCTCCTGGTTAAATTAAATACTCTCAAATCCATTCCACTGACAGAGCTGTGACCAACAACACCCGGATACAACGGAGAAGTTGATAAGCCGGCAGCGGCGATCATCGCGCTCAGAGCCAAGCGAGTGGTGACCTCAGGAGTGTCGGACGGGAGAGAGGCCCCAGTCGCCCGTACTCACCCTTGGCGAGGTCGTCTTCCTCCTGCTTGGCCGTGACGGTGCCGGGATCCTTAGGCACCAGCGCCGGACTCGCCTTCGCCTGCTCCGCAGCCTGGAGCACAGCAAACGGGCACGGCCACCACACGGATCACATGGACGTAAGGGGACGGGCATGGCGACCACATATACATGTGGGCACTGTGACCACACAGGTCACGTGGACACACTAGCACGGCAACCACACGGGTCACCTGGACACACGGCACCGCATGGGTCACACAGACAGACGGGCATGGCCACCACACGGTTGACCTGGATACACGGGCACGGCCACTACATGGGTCTTGCAGACACATGGGCATGGCCACCACACGGGTGACCTGGACACACGGGCACGGCCACCACACGGGACATGCAGACGCGACCACATGGATCACGCAGACACACAGGCTACTGGCATGGCCCAGTAGTAGCACGCTCGCTACTTGCTGCAGGGGTTCATAATTCATATCCAGGAGGCTGTCCTGGTTAATACTATAGTGGGTAATGGGAGTATAATGCTACGCGGCGCCGTCTGTTTCATAGTCAACGTTAAAAGATTCCGTGACGAAAAATAGGCTGTGGCTGGACCCTCTTAAAAAAGTCTTGAGACTCCGTGAGGCTTTTCTGTGCCAACAAGTGTTACAAATATAATATAATAATATCATGGGACCTTTTTTGCCAATATCAAAGTATGAAAAATAAGAATAGGGTTTCCCCTTTTCTGGCAATAAAACAGGAGGTATACTCTCCTCTTTTATTTTTTCTATCTATGTGACTTTACCAGAGAGTATGGATTCCTGCTGTCCCGATAGCTTCAAATCAAAACAGGAGGTGTTAAGATTTTCAAACACCAAATAGATTATACCTTTTTGCAAAGCATCAAGTCTGCATTGACCACACGTACTTGTGGTGAAGATGCAAACAAACATGCTCTGATAAGACATACATTGTCTTTGAAACTGATTGGCCTACACCAGAGACAGCCTTCTCGATTGCCTAGTCTCACCAGCGTCAGACCAGAGAATAGCTGCTCAACCTGAGCTATAAATGCTCTGAAACTTGCATTGTCTCTGTACTGTTCGCCTAATCAATAAAATCCCAATGTAGCGTGGAATCGGCTCTTTGGATTTCCTCTCCACGAGCGTCTACTCTGTGCCTCGTCTCTAGTCACACCCTGTGTCCCCGTATCTCACTTCACCGCAGCCAAATATTGTAAATTTATGTTTCTAAATGTGGAGGGAAAAACCAGACATGGAGAAAAATCCACGCGACCACGAGGAGATCATGCAAACTCCAAATATACAGCAGGCGCCAAGGGTTGGGATCGAACCCACAACCTTCTGTATATACCAGGTGAGGGAGTTAACATCTCGCCACTCAGTCTCGCCCTGCTCTCTGTGCTCCGCGCCACTGGCCAGCGACCGTGCGTGTGGGGTGCATGGGGGACGCGTGTGGGACCTGTGAGCCAGGGGCAGGGAAGGCCACGCCCTGATCCTTCAGGTTCTTGATCATGGCGGCAATGAGGCTGAGCTGTGGGTCGTTTTTGAACTCCTCGGCCCACTCCATCATCAGGGCTTTCAGCTTCTCACCCACCTTGGGGTGAGCCTGTGCATACACACGCCGGTCCAAGCACTCAGTAGTACAAAAACCAACTGAGAACAGACGCAAACGTCATGCCGTGTCGACGGCCTTCATGGGCGAGTCGCAGACACGGTCCCTCGCTTGGGGAACATGAAGCAGGTGGTGACTTGGCCCAGAGGGAGTCCGGTCGAGATTCACAGTTCGAATCCGGCAGGCCGCTCTGGTTATTACTGCAGTATGTGCATGTAAACCGTCAGACATTGCGTTATGGTCCAAATTTGCCAGATTTGAAAAGTAATATGGCAAATGACTTAATTGTTATAGTTGAATGGGGTGCGTTTCTCTGAAATTAGGGGAATCAATCATGCCACAACATCACATTAACACAACACCATCACACCACCATATCATACATCACATCATCAAACCACATCACCAAACTACTGTCACGGTGCACCATCACATACATCATCACGACTTCGCGTCACACCACACCATCACGTCCCAGCGTATATTCACATGGGGGCCATCATGTCGGTGTTATCTATATGGTGATGGTTCTGTCTGGATGTCAGCTGTTGCTGTGTGACAGCACGCAGGGATTATTGTATTTTACGTTTACAACATGTGCACATACATACTCACATCGCACCTCTGATAAACATGTTTGGCTATATACGGTGCGAAAGAAGTTCAACATACATGCACATACATAAGTGTGCTCACCTTGTTAAGGACGTTGTTTACTTCATTTGCAAATTCCCTTGAACAGACTTCCAAGTGAAAGATCTTCCCACAGTTGGACACACAGGCCCCCAGGAGCTGCAGAGGTGCAACACACACACACTCACTTACGGTGGGGCCATGGGAGCACGGCACGGCATATGCACACACATACTCACGGTGGGGCTATGGGAACCCATCACGGCACACATACACTCATGGTGGGGCCACGGAAGCCTGCCACGGAACACACACACTCACTCACAGTGGGGCCACAGGAACCCATGACATACTTCACACACTTGTGTCACTTACTCACCTGGGCAGGGGAAAAATATGATGCATTAAGCGCTATGCATGCATCACACTCTGCAGGTATTCCAAGCAGAGAGGCCCCAGAGAACGTGTCACTATATCATCGCCTCCAGGCGGTGTACACGGTAGCCTCACACGACACAGGCAGAGAGTACTCACAGTCAACGCCTGCATGGCCACGTGAGGAACCTTGTTATTCACTCTCTTCATGGTCGCCCGGAGGCAGTCTTTGGGCCTGTAAAGCAAAGACAAAAACCCCTCCTATAGACTTTAATAGACTATGAGGGCAAATGCTGTTAGGGAGCAGCTATAAAGGCCAGCATGGCACATGAGGAGGTGGGTGGCCAACACCACGCCCGGCCACCTTTGTCTCCCCAGTGATAATATTTACACACCGCACCAGGTACTCATTTGTGGATGAGTCAACCTAGGGGAGGCCCAGCACTGGTTCAGATAATCATCACCGGTGTTGGCCGTGAGCGGGAATCGAACTCGGGTCACTGGGTTCGTAGCACGCAAACAGCTGCATTACTGCTCCCCTGTGTGTGCCTATAAAGCAAGCGCACACACACATACAATATCTTACAGCCTTAGAACATGTATAAGGTTAGTGCCAAATACATACACATTTGAAACTGTGTTTCAAAACTGTTAACCTTACCCATGTACCAATAGTTACAATTTAAGTGCAATGTCTTGGTGTGGTATTGGATTGTTGTTGTTTTTCTGCTGTGCCAAATCTTGAATTTGGTGTTGACAAATCTGCAGGAATGTATGTACAGTAATCCCTCGCCACTTCGTGGTTCAAGTTTCGTGGCCTCAGTGCATCGCGGATTTTTCAAAAATATTCATCGAAAAATAAAAATTCTAAAATACCGCCATATCGGCAGCCGTATTGCGGAAAGCAGCGTTGTTTCATCGTGATGCGCGAGAAAAACGGTTTCCCAGGATGCCAGACAACGAGAGAAACTCTCTCAGAGGCTTTGTACATACCCACGGGCACTCAGACAAGGCACGTGATTGGTTCCCGGCGCGAGATCGACAAATGAGAGCACGAGTGGATGTACAGTATCCCGTGAGCTGATTGGCTGCGCATCATCGCATCCTCTCCCAGCTTCTTCCCTTGTTGTATCTCGCCACTCTCGTTCACGCTGTCAACTGTGTCTCGCGTATCTTAGTGTTGTGTTCGAAATTAACTGGTGAGTGTAGAACACCATAATACGTATCGTATGAGAGAGAGAGAGAGAATGTATAATATTAAGGTTTTATAATTAAATAGATTTAAGTAAAATATATGTGAGTGAGTAAATGTATAATATTAAGGTTTTATGATTAAATAGATTTAAGTAAAATATATATATAAAGTATAAATATACATATTTTAAACATTCTGGTACCCACACACATATATACGGAAATTCCTAGGGGGGCCAATCCTACTTCGCGGATTTTCACCTATCGCGAGGGGTTCCGGGTCCCCATTAACCGCGATAAACGAGGGATCACTGTAGTTAAGTTTAACTGAATGTTCTATTTATATGTAATTATTTACTTTTGGTGACTTGCTTGACTTTTCTCTCTTACTCTCATATTGCTTCTTGCATTGTTTATTGATGTAACTTGCTTACTCACCCCTACTGGACATCTGTAAAGGAGCGTTTCATAGCTCATTAGATTCCTTCAGTCTAAAGTAAAGATTGTGATTCTGATAAACACTCATTCAGGGGGTTGACCAACATCCCAACATAGGACCACGGAGACTTTGGAAATTGTGCCATAGGTTCTGACTTCCTTCACCCGTTAACAGTTCTACAGTTTTTGGTGATGCAAACGCATGACAGGGTTATATACAAGTTAAAATGGATATTATTAGAGGTTTGACATGACAGGTTTACATAGCAATGATCTCCACTGTACCTCTGGAAATGTTATGCCACGGAACAAGTGCACGTATGGGAATGGTAGCGACACCACCACCACAAAAGCAGCAGCTACACAGAAACTGCCACAATTCTTTGTCCAAGCGCTTTTATAAATTTATTTCACTGTGCAAAACCAGCATGCACTCCCAGACATTGGTGTTAAGCTGAATCAGCACACTCAGCACACATTATATGTGGTATGAACTCGGTAATGAAGCTCAAAGCAAAGAGGGCATTGCAGATGAATATGCCATAGATGCCATCATGGTTCACAATCGCCCACTTCTGCAAGATCACACTGCTCTGCCCACCCACCCCACTCCCCAGACATCCAGCAACCATCCCGGCAACCTCACCACCACCATCTGGCCGGCTTTAGGTCACACTAGCTTTACTACCCGGCTTCGCCCGAGACTTGGATTAATACATGGCCTACACGGAGGGTTGGGGGGGGATGCGTGATGTCAACAGGCACACTGCGTAACACTTCCGCATGCGGGTGACATCACAGAACGGTGACATCACAGATGTGATGTCACCGTTCACTTGCCATGCAAAATATATCCATTATTGTGCACCCCCCCCCCCCCCCTCCAAAATACAAAAGTCTATTTTTATACGTTTTGCATTGCGTAAAGTCTGGAAGCTACCCACATGCCAAATTTAAAGTTTGTTGCATGTTGGGAAGTATGCGAAACATTTCGAACAGATACACATATTCACAAATTTCCCTTTTATATATATATATAGACTAGCCTTACTACCCGGCTTCGCCCGGGACTTGGATTCACCATGCCCGGCCACGATGTTCACACACCACACCAGTTACTCGTTTGAGGCTGAGTCGACCTAGGGGAGACCCAGGACCGGTTAAAATAATCGTCACCGGTGGTGGCCGTGAGCAGGAATCGAACTCGGGTCGCCGGGTTCGTAGCGCAGCGCACTAGCCACTACACTACACTGTGTTACGCTTCCACATGCGCGAGTCACACGACAGATTTGACGTAACAGCTCACTTGCCGTGCAAAAAATATATGCATTATTGAGCTCCCCCCCCCAAAAAGTGTATTTTTATCATTTTTGCATGATGTACAGTCTGGAAAGTACCCATATGGCATATTTCAAGTTTGTTGCATGTCGGAAAGCACGCTAAACATTTTGAACAGACACACATAATCACAACTTTGCATTTTATATATATGGAGATAACTCTGGGTGCCACTCTACTAATGCCCATCTCAAAATACCCTCCCGCATCCTGCGAACCAACCTGACCCATAGCAACCTCCTCTCCCTGATTATATCTACAGGGCTTTCACACCACAATCTATTCTCCACCCTCCAAGTTTTTACTCTGCGATCCCCTCTGGGTCGATTTACATTTCTTCTGGAGGAATTCTATAGAAAATTAGCGCACGTTCTCTGGGTGGTGGAACGGACTGGAAAACAGTAGAATGTTAGAAGTACGCGTGTGTTTAAATGGATTCACATCCGCATCTCAGATACAGTACGATCACACTGAGGCACTCAATGTGCCACCGCCAATATGCCCTTGTCGAACAACACACATGCCCAGAAGATATGGCTCCTTCAGATCTCTGTCCCTCAATATAAATCAGAGGTATTAGTTACAGAACCCATCGGCCGCTCGGCCTTCTGGGAGTGCATAATTTCGGCAGCATTCATTCAATGCAAGCAAACTCTGGACTGGTTTCGAAAGAGTTTCATCAGCAGTCAGGTTTACCTTGAATCAATGCTAGTGAACTGGCGATGTTACAGGCAACGACCCTTTCTTTCAGGTATGCTCCTAGTTTGATGCAAAATGATACAATACATTTGTCATTGCATAGATCACTGCATTGACCAGTGAGTGATGTGGGCGGTAGAATGTCGGTTCCAATCCTCATGTGGAGCCCAAGGGGCCACGGTTCTCCCTCACCCTTGCGGAGAATGTCCAATCTTGTCACAGACGTCGAGAATCAGAGCCCAGTCCTCCGTTGTATTCAGTTCACTGGTCGCTTTTTCTGCACAGGCCAGAACCAGCAGCCCACACACAGTGAGACACGGTACCCATGAATGAGACAACACACACACATGCACAGCCCATTGTGCCAATCACCTGCTGGATGAGGGCATTCCAACACCGCGTGGATCGTGGATTGTATTTGACCATACTTCACCACGCTGGTCATTACAGGCTTGTGAAAGTGAGGAACATAGACATTGGAGGATTGTACAGTACAACAATGGATTGTGTTGCCTACAACTTAGGCCTTTGATGCCCCCCCTGAGTATCGTGGGTTCTCTCATGTCCCCCCTGAGTGTCGTGGGTTCCAGTGGCTAAGCGGTGGTCGTGTTGGCACAGGAAGAGCGTGTTGATGGGTCTGGGTGTTTCTGTGATCCTCACAGCCCCGTGACCCTCACACCCCCCGTGACCCTCACACCCCTTACACCCCAGTGACCCTCACGCCCCCTACACCCCCATGACCCTTACACCCCCTACACCCCCATGACCCTCACACCCCCTACACCCCCATGATCCTCATACCCCTTACACCCCCGTGACCCTCACACCCCCTACACCCCCGTGACCCTCACACCCCCCGTGACCCTCACACCCCTTACACCCCAGTGACCCTCACGCCCCCTACACCCCCATGACCCTTACACCCCCTACACCCCCATGACCCTCACACCCCCCACACCCCCATGATCCTCACACCTCCTACACCCCCGTAACTAGGCCTCGGCAAGGTAAGGTAAATTACATTTTTTACCGGGTAAAATGGTAAAGGTAAAGGTTTCGACATGCCAAGGGGTAAGGTAAAGGGTAGTGTAAAGGTAGCTCATAAGAATTACCTGGTAGGGTAAAGGTAGCGCGAATAATTACCCGGTAAATACAGTAGCTTGTTTACCGAAAAAAGCTCCATGGCGCAGTCCGTGGCCTCCATTATAAATTGCGATAATTGATGTCGGACCAGATGGAGACGGTCCACGTTCTTGAGATAGAGGTAATAGAGGACGATGATACCAGCAACGGCATTTTTGGGGTTGCTGCGAACAGCAATCGAAAGAGGCAGTGGCATGCGTTCCAGTGGGAACACACGCACCATTGGATGGAGGGTGATCCCAATGTACAGCACGCACTGCCGCAAGTGGTTTTCCACCCACACGAACGCGTCGGGGTGGAAAGCCCACATCAAGAAGCACAACGTGCTCGCCCCAGGCAGCGAGGTCGGGACATCAGCATCGGCTGCCTGAAGGTTCCGTCTAACTGGGCCGGAGCGGCGCAGAATCTTATTGCCTGTCGCTCGTCCGAGGACGATGGCAATGACGAACTTGATCAGGTTGTTGATGAGATCGCCATCAACCAAGACGACTGGGATGAGGAGGTTATGGAGGACGGTGTCGTCGATAGCCTCAACGCCCGATTCGAGAGTATTCTATATGTATAAAGCGCTCTACCTAACATTTATCGTTATAAACCTTTTTCATGTGTTGTACCCCAGTAATTTCACTGTAATCGGGTAATTTGTATGGGATAAGGGTAAAAGGTAGGTTAAAGGTAGGCTCGTTGCTTTTTACCTTTTACCTTACCTGCTAAAGGGTAAAAGGTAGGGTAGAGCGATTGTATTGTGGTAAGGTAAAAGGTAGGGTAAAGTTTGTCTTGTTTTTTTTATCCGTTGAACTTTTACCTTACCTTGCCGAGGGCTACCCGTGACCCTCACACCCCCGTGACCCTCACACCCCCTACACCCGCATGACCCTCACACCCCCCACACCCCCGTGACCCTCACACCCCCCACAACCCCCACACCACCGTGACCCTCACACCCCCGTGACCCTCACACCCCCTACACCGCCATGATCCTCACACCCCCCAGACCCTCACACCCCACGTGACCCTCACACCCCCACACCCCCATGACCCTCACACCCCCTACACCGCCATGATCCTCACACCCCCCAGACCCTCACACCCCCTACACCCCCATGACCCTCACACCCCCGTGACCCTCACACCCCCCACACCCCCGTGACCCTCACACCCCCTACACCGCCATGACCCTCACACCCCCCAGACCCTCACACCCCCTACACCTCCATGACCCTCACACCCCCGTGACCCTCACACCCCCATGACCCTCACACCCCCCAGACCCTCACACCCCCTACACCCCCATGACCCTCACACCCCCCACACCCCCGTGACGTGGGTCTGCCCCTGTGCATCAGAGGCTGTCACCGCATGCGTGATGCAGTGGCTGCTGTATCCTAAGCAAGGTCCGGGTGTCTCCGAGTCTGGGGGTCGGGGGTTCTGGAGCCAAGGGAATGGTGGGGCCGATATGGAAGATTCATCCCATCCACAAGACGGTCAGCCCCTCGTAGACAATTGCCAGCACAGAAAGGCGCCGAGAAATGGAGAAACACAGAGACGTGGAGACAACCACACGGGGACACGGAAACATGACGAGGAGACATGGGGACACGGGAGACATGAAGCGAAGACATGGATACTAGGGGATGCCGGGAACAAGGAGACACAGGGACACGGACAAACGGGGACAAAGGGGACACGGGAGACGTGAAACGGAGACACGGAAACATGGCAAGGGGACCAGAGGACAGGGAGACACGGACACATGCTGACACTATCGCACTGTGCATAACACAGCATTGTGCTAGGACTGTTATCAATATTGCCGTGGCTGTTGTTGTGGATGGCGTTGTTACAAACGCCACTGCAGTGGTGCGAGTGGAATCACCCTGATTATGAAGTGTGAGTGTACACGTATGGGGGTGGTTGTTGTTGCTGTACACGTATGGGGGTTGTTGGTGTTGTTGTTGCTGTACACGTATGGGGATGGTTGTTGTTGCTGTACACGTATGGGTGGGTAGTGGTGGGTTAGGGTTAGGTGGTGGTGGTGTTGTGCTGCTCTCCACCCCCTCCACTAGCCAGGCTCAGGGCCCGTCTTGTTCTTACCCACGTCCGCGTCGAACGGGTTGGATGTGAACAGCGGCATCTTCTCCTCGTCTCCTCCTCCCCCCCCCTCCTTGTCACCCCTCCTCGTCACCTCGTCTTCTCTCCTCCACGTCTCCCCCTCCTCCTCGTCGTCGTCGTCTCCCCTCTCGTCTCCTCCTCCTCCTTGTCTCGCCAGCCCCGGGTCTCCAGGCGCGATCCGCGAATCGATGGCGAAACAAAGCCCCGACTCCACTGTCGATTCCCAAGCGAGTGCAGGTTCCCCATTGAAATCGTAACGATCCGGCCGCGCGCGTGAGCCAATCGTCCGATTCGAGAAGCGCGTTCGCGTGAGCCTCGGTTTTGTTTCCCCCCCGCAAAATCGATTCCCGAATTCCCGATCGATTGCCGCCCACTGTAGAGTTTGTCGTTTAGTGTATCGATTCTGTTATTCCTTCAATCGATCCTCCATGTCATCGTGGTTTACGATTCGATTCGCACATTCTCTACTGCTGGACGTTACACTTGCATCGATTCCCATCACGATCCACCCGGTAGACTAAACACGCGAATCGATTCCCGACGGGTGGCGTCGCATCAGGGGGGCGCGGCATCCCCCACGGTTTCGATTCTCTCCCTCTCGATTCCATTCCTCGCGGGACTGCATTACTCCCCTTTAAACTCGCTGATTCATCCCACTTCGTTAATCAACTGCGCGCCGATTCCGGAATCGATTCCTCGCGTGGCGTTCCAGAGTGCAGGGCTCCGAGCGGGCCCAGCAACAGAGACAGCAAACGGCTGAAGACGCCGGTCAATAACAATCACAGGACGATGGCCATTGTACGTGCGATAGATCAGGGCCGTTGCCCACGAAACGTTGCCCAGTGTACGTGCTAAGGCCACTCGCTCGATGTTATTTCAGACTGAGTCACTGACCACTCCTGGATATCACGCAGACGACCTCCAGCAAGTCTACCAAAACTGAAATACATGTACGTTAATTTCCTTCTCCCCTCCACCCTGTCCTACAACTCATTCCCTTCCCCCTCACTCCTCCTGTCTCCTCTGCCCGCGACCTCGGGCTCATCTTCAACTCTCGCTCTACAACTGGATCTCTGCCACTGTCCGCACTCGCCACTGGCACCGATTCAGCATTGGCAAATCCGTCCCCTCATCTCGCTCTCTGCTGCTAAACTCCCGGTTCACTCCCTCGTCTTCACTCACCTTGACTACTGCAACTCTTGATAATTGTTTTTTTACCCTTTTATCTGGCAACAAAACTGACACCTTTTTTTACAAGGAGTCATGTTTGCATAGACCACAATACCTGCAGTCGGAATGCAAACAAAAAACACAACTCTGGTAATGTATGCACTGTCCTTTAAATTGATTGGTCCACACCCGAGACAGCTTTCCTTAGAGCCTCGTCTCACATGGTGTTGGACCAGATGACGCCAAAAGGCGCACAACTCAAAGACAATGCACCATCAGAGTTTGAGAGCTCGGGGTTAGCAAAATCCTGATTAAACACAAGATCCAGGTCCGATTCAACACAGTACATAAAATCCGTGATCTGGTCCCATCTGTAAAATATGTCGTTCCAGACATACAGTACCCTGGCGTCTACAAACTAAGTTTCCTCTGGTAGCAGTTACATTGGAGAAACCAAATGACATGTCTCGGTCCGCATCCGTGAACATAAAGCAGACTTGAAACACGGTAGGACAAACACCTCAGCCGTGGCAGATCACTGTTACAATTCAGTGGGCTCACATGACATTGACTTCTTCAAGACAGAGGTTCTCTGCAAGCCATCTGGCTACCATGAGAGATTTGTTCATGAGGCAATCCACATATACAAACACAGAGACAATTTCAACCGAGAAGATGGATTCCGGCTTAGCAATCATTGGAAGGATGTAATAAACCATTTCGGATCTTAACTGATTGTGTTCACGTTTACGGCGACTTTCAGACCGCGTTCCACTCACTGGCATTGTATTCTCCGCAGGGAATGGATTATTTGCTCCGCTGCAAGTTTCCTACCACTACGCACCCATTGGCATATTTAGTTGCTTCCTCTTAGTATCTTTCACACGACGGCCAATGGTACAGTGTATAATAACAAATAGTATAACATTTATATGCTTAATACAATGTACAAAATATATAGTATCGTAATTGTATAGTCAATATACAGCAGTGTGATATACATTAGGGGGGTAAAATAATACATAGTGTAATATTACAATGTGGTTTATAGCAATACAGTATATAATTTAATGTTGGGCAGTATAGAGTACGGTGTAGACTCGTGTGATGTAAGAGAATAAAGTTTAGATGGAAGCATATATATTTTTTACGACGTAGAATTGTAATGTATTACTTACTGTTAGTAACTCAGCTTATTGTAGAGGATATTTAGTATACTGATGATACTATGTAGTTTATACTTTAGTTGTTTACGTGGTGGCTTTAGTTACTGCAGCTACATACTATTAACACCCCTTCCCTTTATTAATGCTACCCCTATCCCCCTCCCTTTGATGCTGCTAATCCTGCATAATGCACGGGCATAAGTAGTACAATTCACATACCTGCATTTCCCATATCCCCTCCCTTTGATGCTGCTAATCCTGCATAATGCACGGGTATAAGTAGTACTAATCACATACCTGCATTTCCCATATCCCCTCCCTTTGATGCTGCTAATCCTGTATAATGCACGGGCATAAGTAGTACTAATCACATACCTGCCTTTCCCATAAATATGCTAAATTCCTATTGATATGCATATTATTTTGTCAAGGCGCCCCTTTTCCCCCCTTCCAACCCAGCTTATATATATGCTCCAAGCACGTGTGCTGTTTCATTCAGACGCTGTCACCTCGACAGACCTGGTTTTCACCTGAGGACGGCTGCTTGCGTTGTGGCCGAAACGTCGTGAGAATTATTTTATTATGTTTTATTTTTATTATTTTATTACTTCCCTTCTACGTGACTTTAATGAAAGAACCAAGAAGAATTGATTTGCATTTTAATGAGGGAAATAAGTATTTGACCCCCTCTAAATCAGAAAGATTTCTGGCTCCCAGGTGTCTTTTATACAGGTAACAGAGCTTAGATTAGGAGCACATTCTTAAAGTGAGTGCTCCTAATCTCAGCTTGTTACTTGTATAAAAGACACCTGTTCACAGAACAAATCAATCAGATTCAAAACTCTCCACCATGGCCAAGACCAAAGAGCTCTCCAAGGATGTCAGGGACAAGATTATAGACCTGCACAAGGCTAGAATGGGCTACAAGACCATCGCCAAGCAGCTTGGTGAGGTGACAACAGTTGGTGCGATCATTCGCAAATGAAAGAAACACAAAAGAACTGTCAATCTCCCTCTGCCTGGGGCTCCATGCAAGATCTCACCTCATGGAGTTGCAATGATCATGAGAACGGTGAGGAATCAGCCCAGAACTACATGGGAGGATCTTGTCAATGATCTCAAGGCAGCTGGGACCATAGTCACCAAGAAAACGGTAACACACTACGCCGTGAAGAACTGAAATCCTGCAGCGCCCGCAAAGTCCCCCTGCTCAAGAAAGCACATATACATGCCCGTCTGAAATTTGCCAATGAACATCTGAATGATTCAGAGGACAACTGGGTGAAAGTGTTGTGGTCAGATGAGACCAAAATGGAGCTCTTTGGCATCAACTCAACTCGCCGTGTTTGGAGGAGGAGGAATGCTGCCTATGACCGCAAGAACACCATCCCCACCGTCAAACATGGAGGTAAAAACATTATGCTTTGGGGGTGTTTTTCTACTAAGGGGACAGGACAACTTCACCGCATCAAAGGGACGATGGACGGGGCCATGTACCGTCAAATCTTGGGTGAGAACCTCCTTCCCTCAGCCAAGGCATTGAAAATGGGTCGTGGATGGGTATTCCAGCATGACAATGACCCAAAACACACGGCCAAGGCAACAAAGGAGTGGCTCAAGAAGAAGCACATTAAGGTCCTGGAGTGGCCTAGCCAGTCTCCAGACCTTATTCCCATAGAAAATCTATGGAGGGAGCTGAAGGTTCGAGTTGCCAAACGTCAGCCTTGAAACCTTAATGACTGGGAGAAGATCTGCAAAGAGGAGTGGAACAAAATCCCTCCTGAGATGTGTGCAAACCTGGTGGCCAACTACAAGAAACGTCTGACCTCTGTGATTGCCAACAAGGGTTTTGCCACCAAGTACTAAGTCATGTTTTGCAGAGGGGTCAAATACTTATTTCCCTCATTAAAATGCAAATCAATTTATAACCTTTTTGACATGTGTTTTTCTGAATCTTTTTTATTGTTATTCTGTCTCTCACTGTTCAAATAAACCTACCATTAAAATTATAGACTGATCATTTCTTTGTCAGTGGGCAAACGTACAAAATCAGCAGGGGATCAAATACTTTTTTCCCTCACTGTAAATCGGACCAGGACAGCCAACATGCTGCCTGGTCCACGTGCGTGAAGACCGGAAACAAAGGACCTACGAAGACAGGATTTCTTCCCAGAAGTGAACAACCACGATCAAAGACGGGATTCGGATATTATCCGCTGCGGTGTAGCCAGGACCGCCCTTGGCCACGCCCCTTTTCCAGATCCTTCTCGAAGTCAGTTCATTCTGCATAACAGGACAGTTTGAAGGGCATCATATTTTGACAAGCCGTTTGTTATTTGACTTACCATAACTAGCTATTCCTTTATTTTAGCTAGTTGCCAATTTTCCCTAGCTAGCTGACCATATGATTCAGCTTGTTAACAGAAATGAGTTAGTTAGCTGCCATTTTTTTGCCAGCTAGCTGCCCTTACAACCAAATAAGCTGCACTAAAAAGCCAGAGCTTAGTTAGCCGTTGACAAATCAATTATAAAAAATGCACCGCGGTTTTGTGAAACGTAAAAAAAAATGCCAAAAGCTATATTTTTTCATACACTAATGCATATATAAGAGACCCAATCCATATGTAGGGGTTATTACGGGAGAAACGGCGGACAACAAACACAGGGCTGTCGGCACTCACATACACGGGGGGTCACACCGACGTCC